TTAAATCGGGTATTAGTATGCATATTAGGAATGGAATTGTCAACATAAATATAAAAATACTTTTGCCTATTTATAAGTAGTAGGTCACTATAGTTAGAAAAAAACTAATGTTGGAAATGTTCATATTTGAATACAAATGTACTTCCACATTGGACAAAATGCAATGTTATTCTTAGTTTAATGTCAATTAAGTTTAAAACTTTTTATTCTCAGTTGTTTTTTTTGTTAAAAACTTTATATTTGGAGTTAGTTGTTAGGTTATGAAACGAATTATTGGTCCATAGCCGAGTCATGTCTTTTTAATTTTTTTTTAAAATTTTATTTTTGGTCATAATAAAGTGATAGTGATTACGTATTTCGTATGTAAGACAAAATACATTTTTGTTAACGATTTGCCACTTGCATGACATTTTTTTTCACATTAAACTATTTCTTCGCATGATATACGCTAAATTTACCTGAATCTTAGTTACTTTTTCAATTACGCATTATGCACAATTATAGTTATCTCAATTATATATAAACCTAAACTATTTAAAAATAATCATGTAGTATTTGATTAAAGTCTTATTTTAGCTTGGAAGTTACTTGAAGTTTTCTTTGCACTTAATTTCATTTTAGATAAATTATATCCTTAATATGTGTTGCCTAATAAAACTCATATCCGATACTAACTTTGTAAAGAATAGAATATCTAGGAGTAGGTGTTAAAGGAAAAGTTGACACATGAGCTTAAAGACATTTTCGAAATGTTTTACACAGTTGTTTTGGTGCATTTTCAAATATGCAAATGATAACGCCGAAGCCGTACTTGACAGTGCTTACCATTAAATTAGATAACTAAATTATTTCGGCGGACTTAAAGTACACTCACCTTTGTGAATTCGATACTTTAACACCGCCTTTGTATTCATATAAACTTTTCGAAAGATATACTTCTAAGATAAACCCATTTTATCCATTCATATTTAGTCTTTGGTAACCAAATTTTAATATTTTCATATTAAATAACCCATCAATTAGTGTGACAAATTTCTTTATTTACAATGTATGTCTAAAAACGTGCATAGAGGAAACCATAGTTTTGTGCGAGGTATGTACTCAGTTTTGTTCTACTGACCCTTTACGTCATTGTAACACCGCATCATTAATTTAATATTAAGCAAAGAATTTTATTTCAACACCGCCAACATTAAAGTCACGCTGCGTGAGATGGTTATTGTAATAATTTATTACCTCGCTTAGTAATTTTAGATTCATCGTCAATTTCAACCAGTCGTAAAGAATGCCGTTGCATCAATGTGAGTGCAGTAAAAGTACAATATTATATAAGTATGAACAACGAGGCAGGATAAGATAGTAGTATTCTGAAACACCAGGGTGTAAGAGTGTTCTATACTTTTGGAGGAAAAACTTACATTTATAATCTAAAGAAGATAGAATAATTGAAAGAATAGTTGGTGTTCATTTGTTTCTTTAATTTTCTTTCGCTTGGTTAACATTATCATCGGATAACTTTTCCATACATTTTCAATCAATTTATTTTCTTTGACAAATTGGTATTGATGACTTTGCCATCCTGAAGCTTTATAATCTATTTGGATGTGGTTAATATCAAGTATAATCTGTATGTTGATAACTAACAAAGATCAAGTAATAGCTACTTCTACCTACGGATTTGTTGTCCTTTTCAATTTTCTTGACAGACTGTCATATTTTACAAAGAGGCAGTGCATTAAAACACTTATTATAACTAACACCACATTGTGATATACACCACTACGATATAAACATGGTGTCAACTGACTTAATATTTAAGCTGTTATCTGTTTCTTTAATAATAAAAGCTGGATTATGTAATGTTATACGACATCATGAAATAATTCGAGGAGTAATCTTATCTACTGCTGATGATGGTGGTGAATTAACAGAAGGAAATAGTGTTGAAGAAGATGTTATAGGAGGGGATAGTGATAAAGATGACACAAATTATATTGTGTTAAACAGACTAGCGAAATTGGACGATAATTCAAATATGAAATTGAATGATGATCGTTCATTAGAAATGGGAATTGAACACATCATCCATCATAAAACGTAAGTTTTACAACTTGTTTGTTTTTAAAATGTTAACTTATTTTAATTCTTATCTGTTAATATTTTCTTATTCGAACAATTATTTAAAAAAAACCCAGATGAAATAATGTAACAAATCTTAATAAATTGTGATAATCATTTTCTATACATTGAATGGTCTGTAACAAATGTTCCAAAAAGTGCTATTTTTCAGACAGAAAATACATTTTTCCAATTTTGATCTTTCTTTTGAAAGTAAACGATTTGCATGTACATTTCTTCTAAACTTTGCCTTTAAACAAGGTAATTTGTTACTTATCACATACATGTACATTCGTATTTCAACAATTGCATGGCATTTAAAGAAAAACAAAAACAAAACAACAAGAACAACATTGGTTTGACTTAAAGCTCCGACAACATCACTTAAAAATAGTTTACCACTTTCAAGTTGTACTAATTTATTTCTTTTAGTACATGCAAAAAAAGGGTTTTTTTAAATTTTGTACTGAAATTTTATAAATTGAATGAAATAAAAGGGTGTCGTCCTCAAATGTTTTAATTTTAATATTAAACTTTCGTTCACGATTTAAATTTTTTTTAGAATTTTTAAATCATTTTCCATTTCTGTCCATCCCTTTGCAAAGCACGGCCCTCTGTAAAAACGAAAAGGGAAAAATAAGACTTTATACAGCACTGAAGTCAAAACTGTGCCACACCAAAAGTAAGTGAAACATTTTACATATTATCATTATTTTTTTACATTTAATAATATTCAGAAAAAAGAAAAACAAACTAGTCGTATGTCTTTAGGATGAATTTGAAAATGTAATATGAGGTTTTTCAAGATTGATTTGTCAGGTGATAGATCAAGTGTAAAAAGTATATTGGGAGTTTCACTGTCGTTGTGTTTATCTTTTTCTTCATTACTTTCTATTACATTTAGTATAAGAAAAATTGAATAATGCTTAAAACGATGCAAGTGGTCATGAAATATAATCTTCTATTTTGTTATCCCTCATATACAAACGCAGTCATACCGATTCTGCATTTTTCATGTACTTTGTTATCACTTCTCACGGACAAACCCTTTTCAGAATCATTTGTTAACATGTTCTTGATATTCTTTTTGTGATTATATTTTACACGAATCGAATGTAAGATGTAAATGTTGAAAATATACAACGAATAAATGAGTGGAAAGTTATCAAAGGGTTGTTGAGATAAATTCATGAAATTGCCAGGATGTTTTATTTTATTGCTATAAGATACTCTGCATTCAAATTTTCTTGAGATTCCTATTACATGTATATGTTATAATTTTACATGAATAGTAGAGGTTCACATACTGTACTATAATAAACGTGAAATAAATGAATATGATATTACTATAGAAACAACTATTGCATCATACGGGAAAAATACCAAACATGCTTTTGGCCTGTCCGTACTCTGCATTGCGCAATGTACTGTTTTTGTTTGAGGTCCTCCTGGACTTCTTGCCACTGGTTCTTGCTGCTGGGTCGTGTGAGGGTTGCGTTCATTGGACACCGCTTTTGCTTGTTGAAATTGTTAATCATATTTCATAAGTACAGTTTCAATGATATTCAATCACAAATTATAACTTGAACATAATATACACTATGAGTACACAAATCAACATGAAGGAGCAACGTTGACGGAAAGCAGCCCTGACAATACCCCGCCACAAAGAACCATTCGTCACCTTAGTGCAATAACTAATCAACAGCTTTTAAATTTAGAAGGACTTATTTCGTTTTTGCACTTAGGCGACGCATTGGAAACAAAACAGAAATATACTTATCTTTTCAAAAATTACTTTATAATAATTTCACTTTCTTTTGTGATATTTCAGGAGAATTCATTGCACAGCTTGTGAATGACCTTTGTGAAGGTCAAGGAAGTCATCTAGATATCTGGGTCGCCGAACTATTTGATATCAATGGTACGTATGACTACAATATGTAATTCATGATGATTTTGTAACACATTGTTCATGACAACAAACCAGTTAACTTAATTCAGGATTTTTGCTTTATGATGTTAGGCTGTTATCAAACTATGCTGTGTCTCTCTTTACAAATTGCTATCAATGTATATTTGCTTCCTTTCTGTTTCAGACGATGGAGTTATTGATCATTTTGAGAAAACACTCTTTGATGATTGAAAGTTTCATCCTTATAGGAAAATGACCGATTTCTTTGGCAGCTGTGACGAGCACTTTGGAGATTGGATTATTATGAAAATATTTGAAACATATTATATGTTTTAAATTGGTACGACTGTCTAGTAGTGTGGATATGAATCTGGCTTTTGCATCACCGTCCATTAATAATTAATTGTTTGTCACCAAGTGGTTTGCTATGTTTTAATATCTAATAGTATGATTTAATTTTGTATGTACGTCATCAATAGCAGAATCTTATATTTCTTCGTTTGTATGTCCGTTTTTACGACATTCAGCGGACGTGGCATATCATTTGTATCGCACTTCGAATGCATTCACTATATTGTATCATACATAACTAAGTTATAATATAATCTCGTCTTCATATTGTTTCATAAAATTTTATCTTTTCCATGATGAAATAATGTTTTGTTGATTGTTGCGTCAGTATTTAAACATGCAGCTACAAAAATATACCATTGTTTGATATTAAATTTTATTATATGTGATAAGTTAAAATTTGTCATTGATTTCACTGTTCAAAAACAGTATTTATAACGCTTTTGCGTTTGAATTGTCCGTCCAAATAAAAAAATTGTGATTTGTGATTTTCATTCTTGAAATAGAAAAATAAATAAATAAAATAAAATAAAGATAGTCTGTTTTATTATTTATTATCGTATGCATAAATTTCTCTGATTATATCGCATTCTCATGTATTGTTTGCACATATTTCTCTATTATCATACAGAAACGTTTAATAGATTCCGTATGAGTGCTGTAATGTCACCGTGTGCAATTAACAGCATCCTCTCCTAAAATTGAAAAATAAATATTACAAAATCTTCTATATCTGAGGAAAAGTAACGATTATAACATTTCATTTACAAATGAATAAAACAGAATCTATAGCTATTTAAGAAATTCCATTACGATACTTGTGTATATTTGCCTTTCGATTATCAAGCTACTTTAAACTATAACAAAATAATGTTAAGAGTTTAACATTAACCACCGTTAAACCACGACAATTAAAATGCGGCTTTGGAAGCCACATGCAAAGAAGGTAAAATGAACTGAATAAATAGTATGATAATGAAGTAGACATTATAAATTAATAATTTGATATTTATTGGTTACAGTTATCTTTATGTGGCTTAACTTTTCATAAAATTATCCCTATAAAATACAAAATGAAGAGTACACTTTAATATGAATAAAAAATTCAAATACACGAACTTTAAAACAGCTATATTCGTCGCCCTCGTACCTGAAAACTTGTTAATGGAGACGCTAAGATTGACCACTTACTCATAGGTTTGTGTCATAAGACAGCGAGGAAGTGACGCAATGATAAAGCTAGGTTATTTTTTAAATTTTAATACATCAAATATCCTAAAACATCTGTAGTTTTCATTTTTTTTGCTGAACCTCTGACGGTAGCTTGAAACTTATTGAACCATTCTAAATCCATCCATTCCTTTGGACTCATTGTGCTTGTTGCATATAAGCTAAATTTTTGTAACAATAGTAGGATGCAAAACCACGTTCTGCAGATTCGGAGAGAGGCACCATAATCACTAAGTCACATGGACATGACATCCTTTCATTTGTTTTGATTATTAACAATATTGAGAAAGTCACGCTCCGGTAACAATAGATTTCTAGTATTATGCTTTTAAAACAATTATGTAATAAATGTTGTTAGACGTATGGTGCAATTTCATACCATTGTAACCGTGTAGATCCGAGGAATTTGAGGATTACGCAGGAATTGTGCACATGTAACGCAGAAATACCAATACTATGGTCGAAACGAGCACAACGGTAAATAAATGAACCAATATATGTTGTAAGTAATTAAATTGAAAGCAATGAATTGGTGCACATGGTTGCTGAGTCATAATATTTTAAACCTGATTGGACTATTTTCAGGAAAGTGTTTGTTTTTCAAGATTATTTGTGGGAATGACGACATGGACGCAATATTGAGAGCGACTTTTATGTCTATATGTATCAATAAAGTAGAGTATAAATTACACTATTGTTTTTTTATTCGATATAAGCAAATCTACTTGTGTAATGTTACACTTAAAGAAGCAGATAGCATGTGACTGAGTCAGTATTTCACAATGTAACGCTGATTTTGTGTGAAAGATGTACTGAATCAACACTGGTTACCTCATTAAGCGTACCTTCTACATATTTTATCTGCTTCCAGACACTATAAGCTTGGCAAATGTCTAAGGTACACCGAATATCAAAACAATAAAGTTATAAATGCGTTATTGTACTTAATATCGGCAAAACACAAAACTCGGCCTCATAGTCAGGTCGTCATCTAAAAAGGTAAACATATTTCAGGAAATATTTGCAATGCTTGTTAACGTTTAATGTCATAGCGACCGACCACGCTTATTATTCTTTTAATTTGATAACTATATTAAAATTACTTATCGTGTTACTCGTTTGAATCAAAACGGTGCATAGATTCGGCTGTTTTTTGACGTCTAATCTGTAATATGCAGACTTCATAACCTCTGATACCCTTTCAAAATTCTATGATGTTTACTTCCGCCCATTATTTTCAAGTTAAGGGCAAACGCTTTCTTTATTTTTAGGACATTACGCCGCTTTTGATGGAATGACACGAAAGTGTCACATTGAAGGTTCCATGATAACCGCCGTATGAACAGATCTGCGGATGTTTCTAAATTTCAAAATTCATCAATTTTCATGTGTAAATGTTTAATTCTGCTTAAACCGGTGCCTGCAACATTTACAATTTTGTCGTTTTGGTTGTTCTTTCGGGATTTCTCTTTTTTACTTTTGCACAAATCCTGCGTTATTTTCACATTCCTGCGTTACTGGATTGTAGAGAAAAATATTCAAGAAGTGTTTTGATCTTCATTATAGGAAAGGTCGATTATATTACAAAAATTACAAAAGAGCAAAGAAACCGGCACATTTTCGTAATGGCATTACTATATGGAGAACATGTTAGACATTAAAAGGCCTAATATGCCTCCGTGTGCAAAAAATACTCATGACCATTTAAATGAACTATCTTTCGCTACTTCTGCTCTCTTTGCAATCGGTATATATAATCATAGTAAATAAATATTTCGTACGTAAGTCAAAATACTACATTTGTTGACATTTTGATACCTTACCGACACATTATTGCACATTCAGCTACTGTCTTGAGTTTTTTAACATTTATTTGGCTTTACATTCATACATAACTAAACGCATGTTTTGACATTTCCAAATAATTAAAAAAAATATATAAAGGCAAACTTAGTGCCAGTACTAATGCATGATATAAAGGGAAATAACTACAACGTATATAATTGAATCATGTGTCAAAACAGTTATATAATCCTATATATGCCTGACAGTATTTCATTCATGGACATTGGGCTGTTAAGAAATACCATGTGCACCTATTCAATGACAGGCTGATTAAAGGTTGAAACACCACGTTCACTGTTATTAAACAGAGATAAAAAAAACTAAAATTAGAAAACTAATTAAAAATAATAGAAAATATGTGACAAAAAATATCTAAAATTTTAGTTGATAATCATTCAAAATATATACAGAATAAATCAAATATTCTTAATGATTGGGTATTTAAAAACAGATTGAGTTAAGATTTGTAATGATTGATCATGAACATACATTTGTTTGATCAGCTTATTAAAATGAAATAAGACATATGAGAGTAGCTTATTTGCGCTTAATTCAACGTACTGTTTAACACAACATGTTTTTTTGTTTTGTTGAAGTATAAAATGATCTTTATGAAAACTCGAACAGTATATTAGTCATTAGTATATATGCACACATATTAAAAAAGTCCAGCGACATTGCGTGCTTATAAAAAACCATGAGTGGTATTTAATTTCATCAAGTTATGTCAAAGTTATGACATAAATTTATGGCGTTGAATATCTGATGTTTATTGCACGCCGTACTTTGTACTTCACACTTTCAATGATGATGCATTTTTATTCGCTCTGATAATCATCTCAAAGAAATGTATATAAATCTGCCTTTAAACCAATGTATGATGCAACACATTTAGTTGAATCTCTTAAATAAATTTTTATAGTAATATTTAACGCACAGCAAATTGTAAATTTTGCCTCTCCCCCCCGGGGGGGGGGTCGTGTAACGGTGGGGGATTGTTAACCTTCCCTATGTCGTTATACTGCTGGGCCAATGCAGTGGTTTTGTGTTAAAATCTCAATTGCCGGGAATAGTTATGTCTTATTTGCCGTCTTGGGACTTAAACCGGGATTGTTCTACCTTGTCAAAGTCCTTACTAGGGATTGAAGGTTTTAAAGTGCAAATCCCTGTTATTCACGTTAACAATTGAGTTGTTTTTGTGTATTATTTAACGCTAAAAAGCGTAATAAAATTACAGCATAAAGCTGTTATATGGAGCAAGAAAAATTTATTCTTTCTTTTTTAAGACAAGATATTGTAGCTTCTCTAGCACTGCAATTGCTATTTCACCACGTTTCGAAACGATTAATTTGATAGATAAAATGATAAAATGATTAAATAATTATCTAAAAGCTTTAAAAAGTTATTAAAATTTTTGACGAGGGAAGACCAATCGACATTTGTTTGAAGAAAAGTAAATATGTGCAAATTGCTGACTAGACGATAGAAAATGATGTGTGTAATGTCGATCAAGAACCTCCTCTAGCACCGACTTAATACATACTTCAGAACTCTTGGCCACTTGATATGTTAGAGATACTGATGCTCAGTTATATTTGATAAATGTTAATCAGTTCAAAAGTGTTAAATATATACTAGGTCTATTTGGAGAAAATAAATGAAAACTTGACACTTTTCACTGTAATCTTTCTTAAACTGCAACGTAGTCTCAAAACTGTCTAGGAGATAAACGGCATTTGTATCAGTAATACATCCCTAAGTCGAGGGTTCTTGGATATGATCAGTACAAATTTTATGTCCACTAAAAGATAATTTTTGGATTTTACGGCGTTTTTGTGGCAGATACCTCGTCTCTAGGACAGTCACCAGACTCCTTTAAACATTCATTGTAAGGTTTAAGAGTTTGTCCCCGTTTGATTATACCACAATAAATATTATATATCGTTTAACCACATCAGATAGTGTTCAAATCTGAAGAGGTAAAAATGATAACACAGGGAGACATGTAATGTCTAAACAATAAAAAGAATGTTTATTTCAATAGATAGAGTCTATCTCTTGATCTGTGTAAAGTACAAAAAGGAATTATTTAAACCTATACGTTTAGAAGAAATTATTAAGGAAAAGTCCTAAATGTACTAAAGCATGAACTCACCTAGGAAATCGCAATTAAGTTTTTTAACCTTTAAACATATTCAATACCTTGTCCAAAAACTTTCTTATAAGTGTGTTATTTTTCATTTATTATAAATATATAATTTAAGTGTAAAAACAAACGATGATACTGGGTATTATTTGTCTGATGATTAAGTACAAATGGGGATAAAGCCGTGATAAGACTCTAATACAAACTATTCAAACGCTACAGACAGCACCAGGAAAGCCACCCCCGTGCAGTTTGCTCGTTTACAAATGGAACGAGCAATGTCCATTTACCCAGCTGAAGAAATCTAAACTTTTCCTTGTATATATTTAGCCATTAACAGTATGTTATCAATTTGGTTTAAACAATATTTATTTTCAATAAATTGCTAACATAATGTATCCTGATACTTTTATTCATATAAAGTACACATAAATATGTACAGAGAAATTCGAAATTCGAACAAAACAACAATGTATACAGAAAAAAATACGTGCACTTTACAGGTCAGAAAACAGGAAGAAGCTAGAAGATTATGCTAAGCCTTGCTGCTGTAATATATTTATGGAAATCTTGCAAGATACCGCAGCAAATAAACATTTTAACATGGATTTCTTTAGAACTTCTGAATGCTTGAGGCAGGCATTTTTATAACAATGTTAGTATCAAATAATGGTAGAAATAGTATCGGCAAACTATGAATGAGCAGTACTATAGCAAAAGGTTTACAACTACCTGTCTTTTTATTGCGCATTAAGATATGACAAAATAGTACATGTGTACCAAAGAATCAAATGTATTCATCTTTGTTACTAGTTTGTATATAATTTGAAAACAATAGTCTGTTTTGTCAGTAACCCAGTTAGATTTTGTAGATTATAAAAGGGAAGTGTTTCGTGTTATTTTGTTATTTTTCACAGTCCTAAATTCTCAAACGGCTGTAAGAATATACTTGGTTTAAAGAAAGACATATAAGTGGAAATATATCACATAAATAGTTACAGTATTTAATCTGTTAAAGCTTAAAAATATTTTTAAACTAATTCACCGGTATAAACAATTGCTTATTGGCAGAAATTGAAAATTCTATTTCAAACATGTCCATGAATTATGTTGGTACGTAATTGACAGCCATTTATTGTTTTCCTAGCCCCATTTAATTGCTATTGAATTAGCAATGAATTAGCAATGAACTATAAGAAATGGTAAATTTTGTATTAAACGTTATAAGAACGAATGACCATGTAAGGGGCTAATAAGTATTTTATTATTCAATGGTAAACACTTAAAGCTTTTGTCGCCTTAGCAACATCCATCCATTAACGCTAAAGATATTGGAAGAACCTGAAAATACATCAACACGTGGGCAACTTCTGACAACTAATAAAAGTCTTTTAAATGTAAAAATGGTACATGTATATAACTCACGGTTTCCGTTAAGCTAATATTTAAAAGAAACAAAAGCTGTCACAGAAAACTGACTTATGCCCCCGAAAGGAAGCTTTGACATAAAATACGAAATGTATGCCAAAATACCAGTTATATATTCCGAGCGTCTTTGATAAATGTCATTCCCAAAATTTAACTGAAATTTCATTAGAAGTGTAGGAAAAATAGTCTAAAAATAAATCATCATCAAGGGCCCATGACTGTGGGAAAATCATGCACTGAAGTTCCCCCTGCAGTTTTGGAGATGAAGTGCGGAATGTTTATCCGACAGACGGACGCACAGACGGACAGTAAAATTTCTATATGCCCCCTTCGAGAAGCATTAAAAAATGACAAAATAACATGAACTGTGATTTCATTGTAATAGTTTTTAAACTCCTGATATATTTTCCTTAATTATGATATTATTTTGAAAAAAATATTTACCTGTCCATGTGCAGTTAAAGGAAGTTAAAGTTTGTGTTTATTTTAGTCACAATGACAGTGATGATTTTTACTATTCGTGATGGAATGCCATCCCCGTATTTTAGGCAACCTTTGTCAGTCAGTAGTGTGATGTGACAAAGACACTGTATTATTTTCTGCATAACTTTGCTTATTATCATGCACATCTGACTTTGTATCACGCAATTCCCTTATTATCTTCCTTTGATAAAAAGATGTTTTGGTGTAGTAAAGATCATATGGTTAAGAGTGATAATAATCAAAACAATAACAACCTCGGGAATGATTTAGGTAAGATAGAGAGAAAAAAAAACTGAAACAAGAAAACATTCAAAAACAAAATATTTTTGTTTAAACAAATTAAATATTAAGGCTAATTTAATAATTTTATTTTTTGACTTGAAATTAGAAAAAATGAATTGCCATTTCCAATTATAAAAAAATCAACCGGTAAATAAAGATTTTAAATAGAAAAATGATAAGTAGGGATAGGTTAAAAGTCTTTCTCATCATCTTTTTTATATAAAATTTTAAGCCTACAAAACGTTTTACCTTTCTCTCGATTAAATATTCAAAACATGAAAATATAAAAATGGATAATACCTGGACAACACAAAAACACAAGCATAAAGGTGGCATTTACAGAATGCACATTTTTCCGACAGTACAGGTTAAGATTTTTTTAATTTTCAAAACCATGTCAAACACTTAAAATCAGAAGGAAAAACGTTACATATAAACAAGTCAATATCTTCAATTATGATTATATTTTAAGTACAACTTGTTTTATAATTTAGCTTTTGGATAAAACAATAAGTATCTTATATGTAAATGGATGGACATGCATTGCAATTATGACGCCTTAAACTCTGACATTTTTTAATGTGAGAAGCTCTGCTATCATGTATTGAGACAAATGAACTTTCCCAGAAATACTAGTACTTTTTGTTTAGACATAAAATGAAATGAAAAACACATTTACACTTGAGTTTGCACAGGATAATTAATGTCAAGAAATTACAAATATAAGCGAGATTAAGACAACATTTTAAACTATACAATTTAAATATACGTATGTATACACGAGCAGAAACAAACAGGTTTTTTTTCAAGATTACATGTTAAATATGCAGTCGTAATAACTATGCTTGCTTAATTCATCATTATTATGATAAAATATCGGCGTAATTGAAGAAAAAGGCAGATATAAGACATAAAACAATTGCATAACATTCTATTGGCCTCTGAATCAAACACTTATTTTTTCTTCCTGTTTTTATTGTCCCTTTAAAAACACGTCGCATGCGCCCGGAGCACCAAATACGTTGCTTGTCTTCACGAGGTAAGTGAGTATTTTCAAATTGTTTCTTTACCTGTAAATTTCTAGGTAATGTCAAAAGTGAAGCTATTATTTGGAAATACTTAATATCTAAATTCATAATTCATAAATTCATAACCTACAAAAATTTATTTAACAGACATTGCTCATTTGTTTTCAATTATTTTCTTTGATATATAAATATGCAATTTTTTAAGTCATCTATTTTTGTCAACGATCATAAAACAAAAAGTAATTTAATTTTTAGAAATTTAACTTTCAAAACAACGTCAATAGTATTCGAGTATTAAACTGCGATTGCAACTTCGTATGACATCTTTTGAAATGCAAAATAAACAAAATCGATAATAAAACACAGCTGTCAAGTTGCTACTTAATACATTTTGCCATTAATTGAAAAATTTCTTCTGCAATGTATTATCTAACTTGAAATAAATTATATTAGTAAGTTTTTTTGTTTTATGTTATCTTCATTATTAGATAGACTTTTTTGTTGTTTTCAGTATGATTCATATTATTCAAATAAGTTGCATGAATAAGAATAATAGAATTTTAACTAATATAGAATAAAAATTGTTTGTTGTTTGCTTTATGTTATCTTTATATTTGAGACAGACCTTGCTTTCATTATCATTCATTTTACTCAAAATAAAATTTCATAAAATAAAAATTAAAGACAGAAATATAAAAGTACTGAATTAAAAACATCGTAATTTGAATACACTTGTTTTCAGCGTTCATCATTTAGGACAACTCGTGTGGAGAAAAATACACCATGATGCTTTATAAAGGTCAGTTAAAATATTTTTATTGTATAATAGATAATAATAACCCCATGGTAACATTAAACAAAACACCAAGACACAAAAAAGCATTGTATGCAATGTTTAATAACATATACTACAATTGAAATTATCGATCCATTTTGACCTACGACGTTCGTACATCATTAGGTTGCAACTACATTTATTCAAGTTTACTATACTATACTTGTACAACTTACTTTCTATGGACTTTTAAAGAACTTTTACTGAGTATTTAGAATGATCAATTTTGAGTTAATTTCAACAATAGGTTTTGTTTTGTTTTTATCATTTTACGCATTTTCCAAACAGTATTTCAGTCGTATAGGCTGATAGTTTCCTAACCATCGTTCCTTGAGAGTTACACCAGTACTAGACTACCTTCCTCTGCGCTAAACTACCAAAGCATCTCCCGGGAAACGAACCCACGCCAGAGAGGTAACGGAATTAGAAGTCATCGACTCTAACACCTCGATCACGGAGGCGATTTTCAACAATAGAATAATTGTTCTATCTATAAATCTATAAACTATAAACAGGACACCAAATATTAAAAAACACAATTTGAGAAATAGAATAAAACAACAATTCTGAGGAATAATGGGTCTTTTTGATATTATATAAATTTCTTTTTTAGGATTTCTCCTTTTCCTGTTGGCCTCTCCTGGGGACGTTGGTAAGTTCCATTATAATGAAATTTATGAATTGTTTAATTATAAATAAACAGAACTCGATACGTTCGGTTCATTATTGTATGATGACTATCGGAAACAAGCATTTTCATAAAGTGATGATAAAGAAATAGCATTGTTCGCAAATAAATCAGAAATAACGAAATCTCTCATTGCCAGTAAATGTCAATACAAAATGTAGATAAGATAAAAATATGAATCTAAAGCGTTTTGTGCGTGAACTTTCCTGAAACTTCACTGAATTTGTGCAATATTTATAAATGTAAATATTACAAATGATGAATTTTTCAGCTTCCTTATCTTGTTATTCGTGTAACAACGTTGACAGTTTAGATAGTTGTAAAACTATAACAACATGCGGGAAAAGAGAGGTAATTATATTTAGCTCTTATATTTTGTTCTGTAGTACATGTGTACACTGGTGTAATTATAATAACGGAAACGAATTAGGCACATTTGACTTGCAGTAGAATGACAAACACATATTAAATCTAATTGTTTTAAAACGTTTTTATTGGTTGATGGAATTATGGTCTCGTTGTTTAGTTTTACACTTGACTAGCTCAAAGATGATATTTTTAAAGATAAGTTTACATTTTGTACATTTTTTTTATTATTTCTTGTACAATTTTACTTTCAGTCATGTTTCAAACGTTTACAAAAGAGAGGACAATATGCCTCATTCACACTCGGATGTACACAAAATGAGGTAAGATACAATTGTTATGAAATATTTTATTACTTCTAATAAAAATAAACACATATACCTCTTTAACGTTAAAGGACTCATAAAGTATCTTATAAGTTTAAATAAAAACAGATTAAAGAATAAGATAGCTTTGATTTAGTGATATTGCTTTAAGTTCAAATAAGTCAAAATATTTCTGTTCCGGCAAAAAAACAACAACAACAACAATAAAACAAAAACAAAAAAACAAACAAACAAACAAACAAACAAAAAACCCGTGTAGAACAAACAGTTTGTCATACAATTCTAGAAACAACATAAATTAATATTGTTTGCCTAAAATGTTTAAGCTGAGCATGATTATTATTCGCTTTGCCAAACCTACATTCGAAAGCCATTATATTATCTGTAATGCTTTATGTGCAATCATATTGACATTGTCTTTACTCGCATAATCAGTGAAAATGGCAAAAGTGTTTTAATTTTTTTCAATTGAATGTTTTTACAATGAACACAATTATTCACATTCACCATCTCCAATTTAACAGAATTGTGGTAACATACCAGTATACACTAACGTGTCAAAGTTGAGCAATGGTCAACTGCTCCAAGAATGTGAAGAATGCTGTGGCGTTGATCAATGTAACAAAGACCTTTGCAACCACAAAACTCGTTAGTAGCCTTATTCATTCTCTAGCAGTAAATTTTCAAAATTGGAATACTGAAGGTTTATGAGATTTTAGCTCAAATATTCAAAGAGTAAAGATAGCTATCCCTATCCCCGAGCGTCGGGGTCGGGGTCGGTAAAACCATTTATGTTAAAAATTGCGTATAGCCACAAATATTTTCAATGTCCATCGACATATGACTCTGAAACTTCGCAAACTTGTATACCCTAACCTGTACACAGGAGTAGATAACTCTATCAAATATTTTGACAAAATTATGCCCCTTTTTTGACTTAAAATTCATGTTAAAATTTATGTACCACCTCAGTTAATCCATCGACATATGGCTTTGAGATTGTGCACACTTGTTCACTATCAAAATTTCTAAATATGTACAGGGAGAGATCACCGTATCAATATGTTTCACACTTGTATAACATTTTTTACTACTAAGCGCTATGAACAGTCGAGCACGCTCTTATAAATGTATATAGAAATGTCTTTCCAGATGACATATAAAGTGCTATTGCCTTAACTGTGAACGATCGATTTTATCTTTAAGAGGAGAAGATTTCTTCTCATTCACTCGTTCGCTCGCACACTCACGAAAATACTGTCTTTAATATCTAATTTTAATTTAAGCGCCCCCTTGCAGCGATAATATGGAAAACTGTGCATTCTGGAACAAAGATTTTGACATCTGTGAAGATATCCATAAAGCTAAGTTACACTGTCGTAAATTCTGCAAATTGTGTGATCTAGGTAACTATGATTTTTCTGTTTTTCTAATAAAGTGCTCAGAAAATCAGAATGCAATTCCTTTTATCATTTCTGTTTATTTGTTGTTTTTTTTTCTAAATAAAAGTACTTAAAATTCGTAAAAAGTAGGCCAGTTCTTTTAGGAAAAAATGCACAGGTTAAGAGAAGAAGTGGAAAAAAATATCCACTTTTAATTCGTTCTTGAAATTTTTCATATTGACTAAAAGTAAGGTAAGCTTCATGTAGATAAGGAAAAAATAAGGTATTGTTTCCCTTCATTGTAAATTATCTGCCCTTGAATTAAGCAAAAACGTCCAAATTCAAGGGTAGATAACTCGAAAATGAGAACACCCAACGTTTTTCTGTTATCATATTCTAACAACATGCCAGATTTAAAGACATTATATTGAACTGTTTTAATTTTGCCTATTTGTCTATATGAAAACTCCCGCAAACGTCCTTAAGTTTGATTATCGTTTGGACTCGTCTACAAGTGCTATTATTATTTATCTTAAGTTGACGGTAACTGGGCTGACTGGTCATCTTGGTCAACATGTGACGTCACATGCGGTCATGGAAAACACACACGAACCAGAACGTGTACTAACCCATCACCTGCATACAAAGGTCTTGATTGTAATGGAACCAACACAGACACTAAACCTTGTACCCGGCCATTATGTCCAGGTAAAAAATATAACTCATACTTTATTTGTTAACTTTGTGTACTATCAAGTTTGGACAACATTGAGAGCTTTTTAGAAATATTAACAATTAATGCAATCAAACAATGTTTTGATTAAAATGTTATGTTGAAATATAATTCCTCGGTTGTGAGACTTATAAATTTAAAATAAATCATCATTATACATTTCATTAGGCAATATAATGCATTGCCAATATCGATTTTCTGGATGCAATGTTCAATTTATTCTAGCATTTTAAGCAATAAGCATTGAAATTGTCACTAATATATCAATTATTTATACTTATGATATTTTATTCGACGTATGTAATGAAATAATATTACACAATTTCAATTTATATGAAATTTTAGTACATGGAGGCTGGGCGGGATGGTCAAGTTGGGAGTCGTGCCCTGTAACCTGTGACATAGGTATACAGAAGAGACACCGTAAATGTACTAACCCGTCTCCATTACGGCATGGCAACCATTGCTTTGGTGATTCTATGGATGTCAAACTGTGCAAGCAAAATCCATGTGACGGTAAGTATTAATTTGTTTATGCAAGTAATCAAATGTATACTACAAGTAATATAAATGTCATAAGTATCCGTAACTGTGAGGTACGTTAAATGGATATATATTCTTTAAATGCCTTCAGACTTAGACATTTAGTATCAACACTGATTTGTTAGAATATGTAAACAATGACTTTGTCTAAGTTGGATAATGTAGGGCCAGTATTACACATAAAAGATGTATGCAATTTACAGAGAAAATGATGTTTTTGCTTACGTTGCATATATCTATGAAATTAATTGTTTTGAAATATTTTAAGATTTATAAGTAAAAATTTAATTCCAGCATCAAATGGTGGTTGGTCAAATTGGAATACATGGAGCAGCTGCAGTGTATCTTGTGGTGGAGGAGTTAAAACCAGGTCCAGATCATGTTCAAATCCAGTTCCTGGAATTCATGGAAAACCTTGTGTTGGAGATAATATGCAAGTAGTAACCTGCAACAAAGAGGACTGTCGTAAGTTGTTTTGACACATTTAAACATATAAGTGCAGTTTTAAAGATTGGTTTTACATATAAATATTCTTCGTACACAAACATACTAATAAAATTATTACAGAATGCGTATTATTTCGTGTTAATTTATAGCTTTTGATTAATTCAGATTTCATTCACGGTAACGAGGTCAGCTAAGAATGTATGAGCCAAAACTACAAATTGTTAAAATTATCGAGCTCATGTTTTTGTTCAAATGAATAAACATTCGTTTTTTTTAATTTCTAAAAATATCATTAACTTGTGCCAGTCTATTAATAATTATGAGCTTTTGCACTTTTCAGAATCAAACTCAACTGTTGCATTTAACGCCTACTATGTAACTGACTGCAGTCCAAGTGCTGGCCAGACTATGATTTTTTCTAAGATACTTATGAATGAAGGAGAAGCATACAACCCTTCCACTGGTGTGTTTGTTGCCCCTAAAGATGGAACGTACACATTTTATGCACAACTATGTATTAATAGTAGAACAAGTATTCACTTTGATATAATGGTAGGATCAAAAGTTTATGCGACCGCCTACGGATATGACTCCAGCGCTTATAGCTGCCCATCGACACAAGCAATCGCACAAATGAAATCAGGTGACAAAGCCTTTGTGCAATGGAAATCATGGACACAAAGTAGTAATGCTGTTCCACAAAGTTATACATATGTAAGAAATTTTTTCTCTGGAAAATATTCAAATCCTTAATTGTTACACCTGACGAGATGATTTCTCAAGAAATATATTTGATTCAGAAAGAAGGTATAGAGGATCTTTTATAAAACCTTATTGACGATAAAGGGCATGACTAATTCATAAAATGTTTTTTTTATGACTGACATTAAACAGCATGTGTTATGTCATCGTTCACTCGCACAGTTATGCACTTTCAATTTTAATAATGTTTTGTTTTTCAAATATAGTTGGTATTTTCAAAGATATGATAATGATTAATTACTTAGATTGTATTTCATTCAATATTTCAATTTCTTTATCTTTAAAATATCCATGTCTCTGTTTATTGATGCAAGTATGTAAACACAAAGTTAATGTACTTAATTTTATGGACTGAATTTTATGTTGTATCAGTACTGTAGCAAATACTTTTGTTTTGGTAACAGATCTAAGTAATAAATACACATAGTGTTTCGTTGGACGAGCCGCCTGCAAATTTGGTGTAATGTAATGTTTTTTGTTGTTATTTTTTAAGTTATTTTTTTTTGTATAAATTGATAGATGAAAATTATTTGATCAGTAGGCAATGCAAAGCTCAGTTTCAACTTGAGACCAAACATATTTTCTGTGCTCGAAAACGGATATTAAGTTGTTGACTTATTTCCTTGTGTATTTAATGCTACATGTCCCTCATTTTGTTAATAAAATTTCATTTTGGCTATAATAGATGAATTATTTAATTTTATTTATTGATAGGTGAAACCTATAATTTGGACTAAAGTTTGATTGCTAAATAGTGTAATATTCCTGTTTTATTTTACATGCCGTATATTATAATCAAATTAAGTGCAAACAATTTCAAACAAAATAATAGCAGATATAAAACAAGAATAAGTCATTTAATAAGGTTAGTACTTTCATTTTAGAAATTGATAAAAGAATGTTAAAGAATCCACTTTTACGTGCTTGTTTTGTACAGTTTGTAAGATTATACTTATTATGTTATTTTTTAGACCAATACAATAATGTGTATATGTACAATTAGGAGATCCAATGAGCATGTTTGTGTGATTTTTTGTTTCATTTTCTTTTACTATATATATCACCTATATTTATCAACTTTGTTTTCAAATTAACAAAAAGCTATCTTGTCCGGTTGAATTGTTCGTGTTACATTGATAATTTAATAAATATAATTTCCACAATGTCATTTGCAAAATTAACTTGTAAATAACACACACGTTAACATTAAATGAATAAAAGAACGCCTGAGGTATTGCACCTCCGGTGGAGATAGATATCCGCCAATGACCTCAACGGTGATAGTGCGACTTCCCCCCTCCCCTAATTAATATATAAATGTGATGATTTACATAACATTTGCCTTACAATGAAATATTCCTTTCGATCATATGTGAACAAGATAGAGATAATTCTGTTATTGTGAATTGCGAAATTGCTGTATATACGCATACTTTACTTGTACTTTACATACATTGCAATGTCAACAAAACGCATTCTGTAGAGCAATAACCTTTTTACACTGGTACCGATTATTCTCAAAATATGACTTGAAAATGAATTTCACCTTACAGACAAAAGCTTCCAAGCCACAACCGAAATGTTGACTGCCAAAGAAAATTTCGTTTTTTAGAAAAAAATGCACTGTGTTGTGATTGTATCTATGTCATGTATGTCAGGGCCAACTAGTTAATAAGTTTTGTTTTTGTTTCAATCTAATTGACATTGAAATAATTCAATTATTCGGCGCTAATATTATATATTTAGTATCTAACATAAGTAACACATGTATATTTTGTTAATTTAGTAACTTTTTATATGGGTTAATAAAAATGATAACCATCTTAGTGTTATTTTGTCATTATGATTGTGTTTATCTAAATACTTCAAATAAGTAAGAATCCTAAAAAAGATAATCACCTAAAAGTAAGGACAATGTGTTCATTGTTTTGATACGTCATGTTACATTTGAATTCTATTGATTCTAATTTGCTGCAGTTGTTCTTAAACGATACATAACATTTTTTCTTGATGTTGTTCAAGTAATGATCTTAATTACACTTTATGTCATCTTTATATGATCATACGAGCGGCATTTATGGTATTTGCATTTTCCTTAACATATGCGCATAAAACCATTTACAATTTAATTGAAATACATGCAAGAAATTGCAATTGTAACATATTTTGCCATATAACACAAGTACAAGTTTGCTTTCTCGGGAATGGCTCAACTTTCTCAAACTTTTACCAAGTTCGAAATTTTATGAATATGTCTACATAAATTATGTTACTTTCTATTGTCTAGGCTATCAAGTTGTTTATTATCAAGAATTCATAATTATGTTACAAACGCACACGCAAAAGATAGTTCCATTGCATACATTTACTGTGAAGTCAAGAGAATTGTAATGTAAAAGACCGGTTTTCATAAATATTAATTCATACATTTAACGAATGAAATGGCCAATACTGGAAAATAAATGGGATGTACAAATTAATTTGCACGATCTTTGATTTTTGTAGATAAAATTTTAGATCATTGCCTTTAAGGCATAAACTGTATATACATGAACAAATTGTAGTTAATTTTACAGAATAAAGTTTATCACAAGCAATAACTATAAACTTTCAAAAAATTATAATATCAATCGAGTAATCTTTATCATAGAAATATTCTTTTTTAATTCAGTGGCATTAGAATTAGTTGCATCAGAGTTTATGATTAGATAACGAAATTTCGCCAATAGTTGGAGTATAATCAACATAACATGAAACTCTAGTTATATAAAAATTATCGCCGTTAAAAGATCCCGCATTGCTCCCTCAAATGGAATGAAAAGAACACATACATATTGACAGCTATTGAGGTATTAACATGTCATTTTAGTGCGTTACGAACGTAATTGACATTTGTAAGAATAATGTTTCGGTCATTTTACGTATGCATACATTAATATGTACTTCCGGTTCACGATATTTGCTACTTTGGTTTTCGTCCCATGATTTATTCATATTCTCTTAGGTATTTGACATATTGTCGTTTAAATAAATGTTATTGTGTTTCTATACTTATGAATTGTCATGAATGCTTACCCAAACATGTGCTTAATATTATTACTGATGAATACTGACCAACTCGCATTTATGTCATTGCTACGAATACGAATGTTTGTGTGTATGTTTCACTGTTCATATACAGTCCAACTTTGATTATTCGAATCGCTGGGGACTGAAAATTTACTTCGAATAATCGATGGGTTCGAATAATCGAAATCCGAATATAGTGATAGACGACAACTATTCAACTTTGGTCATACGTCAATCATATCAAAGGTACCGTTAACAGCACACTTTTTCAATTAATCAATCGAGAGAAAAAAAAACGACAAAAGATGCGCAAAATATACATTTTATTGGTATTAAAGACATAAATACCTGCATTTTATTCCACATTATGTATACATGAAAATTATCGTTGTCATCTTCAAGAATTAACTGTAACAACATCGAACACTGTGCAGAATTTTAATCATAGATAAGATAGATATGTATTCTCAATTAAAATATCGTGTACTAGTGGAAACAATGCACTGATTTAAAATAGATTTTTTTTCAGTATTCATATACATATACATGGTGATGTTTGCCTGTTTATTTATTACTTTATTTAGATTGCTTACTTTCATTCTTTCATTAAAATTATTGAAATGAATACTTTATATTACTTTATAATTTGTCCAATAATTAAAAGGGAAATCTCTCGCATGCAAGTAATTTTTGGGAGTTAAAGAAAATTTTAAAAAGGGTATTGTGTTTTAAAGTTCACTCAAACTAAATAAACTGTCATCTAGATAACACTGTCTTTTGTCCGCACTCGATGTATTGTGTTTTCAAATCGCTTGACTGACCATGACATAAACCATATGTATCTCTCAATAATGGTGATTTTGGCTTTCGTTTTTTTTCTCTTGTTTTTAGATGAAGCACTATCATTTGCATCATTAGTCATTAGAATAAATGTTTACATTCGTTTTAATCAAAACATTCCAAGCATATGCCCAACGGAACCAAATTGTTATCCAGATTTATCGACTGCTTAAAATCCTTATACGACTATACCCCCAGCAGAGTTATTTAAAAAGTGTCTTCGTACGTCTGTAAGAAGACACTTTTAAATAACCGTTACTTTCCACGTGGAAATATACGATGTCCTGATTGGGCCAGTTGAAGGTCTCCTTTTTGACATGCTTTTTTTTCTAACGTATTACCTCTCTTTCTGTATTTTTATAGATAAAGTGGCAATATTTTACATTCTCGCAAGAAACTTTTCGCGCTATTCAACGTTGGCTTTGTCTCATGCATACACTTTCTCATACCTAAATCCTCGTGCGAATCAAAATGTAAAAATCTTCGCGATATTTAAAGCAGCACGCCTTCAGATTCATGCTAATTTTTATGAAAAATTTGAAAATGTATTTGAATGTTTAATATAAAGGAAGCAATTTACACATTAGCAATGGCACTTACTGCCCACGTAAATTACCAAAAAGTGGTCAAAATATGCATAAATATGCCTTACTGAGTTAGTAACGCAATAGGAATATAGTTGTGAATACTGAAAAATCAGTCCTTAACCGCACATAATTTGTAAAACATGTATTACTTGAATCTTGCATCATTTTACTTTTCTTAAAATCATAGTACACATTTCTGATGTTTGATTTTATTGAAATATTTTGACTTATCTTGAGGCATGCAACTTTAACCTTAATTTTGAAATTCGCATGTTTCTTTCGAGAACTTTAGCTAAATACCAGTGTCTAGTATAGTAAAACAAGAGCCTGAAAAATGTAGAATATTTAAACTTCAAAAAGTGCCATAGTTCTGTCAAAATTCACAATTACAATAGCTTTCCCTTTTTTTGTGAGTAGTCGAGCTAAAACAAGAGATTTAGTCAATCTTAAATTGTAACAGGACACCATAGAAACTGACAGGAATTTGTAGCGAACCAGGTACTGCAGTAGCGCAACTCATGAGTAAATTCAGTTCATCGAGAAATGAATCAAATAGAATGGATGGCCATTTCCAGGAACATAGTAACTGTCGATTTTAGCATTGACGAAACTAAAGTTAACCAGTTTTACTGTCCCAGCCCTCTGCCGCCCCGCTCCACACACGCAAATCATCGGCCATATACAGCTGATTATTGTGTTAAGCTAAGCATGTGAATAAGGAACCTTACCAAATTTGGGATCCAAAACGTTATACATATATCATTGACGCAAAACATGTTCAGAGACGGTATCAATGTTGAATGACATAATTGATCTCTCAGATATAGGCAGCCATTTTAACAGTGATTATCATGAATAAAAGTGAATTCTGTCCGATTGAAATAAGTGCACCAAAAATCCGTGCGAATACAGTTTGCTTACATCTTTCACTGCCCAACGCTTAAAGGCCAGGCAAATATTTTCTACAGTTTTATATTTTCAACGTGAACATACATTTAATTTCAATTAGATCAATTTATAATTAAATGCGTTCATTAATTTATATGTTCTTTACACTTAAACGTCGTATAAGTCGGATACACTTCAAAAGTGACTTCTTACAGACGTAAAGAAGACAGTTCGCTAGGACAAACAACAATTTAATTTTTACTTCGAAAAATAGGAGGTATTCTGATAATGCATTTTGAATAATAAGTTCGTATTTATATAGATTTTAATTGAGATCAAACCGGGACCACCGATTTACTTCGGATAATGCCGGGTATTCGAATAAAGGGTTGTCGAATAACCGGGATCGGGCTTTACATGTATTATATTTCAAATAATATCTTTCTGTTCATGAATAATTTAAAGTTGTAAGTGATTAATTCCCATTTCAACGGTTAAATATTGCAGCATTGCTGGTATCAACAATAACAAACCTACTACATTCAATCAGGTACACGTTACTCGAATTACGTTTCTCTCGAAGTTCAATGCCCAGTCCATTGAAATTCAAGTTACTGGGAGTCAACGGAAACATCGTCACCATTCAGTATTGATGTTCGTTCCCTTTTAGGTATAAAACTCATTGCTGAAATATCCTTTTCGTTTTTTTTTATCTCTTGCTTATATACGATCTAAACACAACAAAAGTAACACCTTAACGGAAAAGGCGTCAAGTAAAAAACATATGTACATGTTTGTTTGTCTAATGTTTTGCAATCAAAAATATGGCAAATTTTGTAAATAGTAAAGATTATTAGATTTGGATACACTCATATTTTATTTCTTGTTTATTTAATGGTTTTAAAAACTAATTTTAACAGCAAGATTATAGAGGAAAAGTGTTTCAGATTATTACTGACGATATATTTTCAATGTTGACATTTTTTTTTGTAATTATTGACTAATTTATCTAATGAATGGCCATCATAAGATAAAAAATAAACACACTTAAATACTCTCAACTTGGAAGTGTTATTTCAGAATCGTATTGGCAAAGATGCAACAAATAGCAATTCATCACTCTATTTTTAATTCCCTTATTGAGGACAGCCCATTATATGAGAGTGAAATGTCTTATTTCTGTATTGTATGTTCTAGCATTATATACCTTATATTGCCGTAAATCCGCGCAGTGGTCAATTTGCAGCCGAATTGAACCAAAGGGTAGTTCTCGGTTTGCTACGGAAGAAGATTTTTTATAAATTACCTAAAATTTATTTACTTGAAGAGGAAATCCCCTCTCGGTCTAAAAATTGCCTATGCCACGCGGATAATAATCGGCTTTTTCTTCGAATGGCGCCTTGTACTTTATATGATTAAAACACCTCAGAAATTATA